TCCTGGCCAGGAAACAAGGCCTCGTCCAAGCAGGGGAGGCCGACTTGGCACAGATGTGAAGGGCACCGGCCTCACCACGTTCAGCTCGCTCCTGCCAAACCAAAACCAACTGCCAATTTGAAGCTGGGCAGAGGCCTGAGGTCTGTCCCAGGAGAAGACGAGGAGGGGCCACGTGCAACGGCACGGTCATCGGGGGACGCAAATTAAGCCACGACGAGCCCCATGGCATGTGGAGGAGGTGACACTGAAGAGCCAGCAGCACCCGGCTGTCACGGGACAGAAGGCACCGAGGCCGTGGAGGCGGCAGCTCCACGTGAAGCCACTCTCGCGGCCGCAGGCCTGCACTCGGTCCCAGGCAACCGCAGAGAAGCCGTGTGCCCACAGCTGCGGCCCCGTCCATCCTCACTCAACGCGGAAACAGCTCCAGTCCACGGGGCAGACACTGGAGCGCCCCGGCTGGGGGACCACGCTCTGTGGAGGTGGCTGGTGCAGCGGGGAGGGCAGGGGCTGGGGCTGACGCACCGCCCACAGCACCCGGCAGAGGCCCTGCAGCCAGGGTGGCCACGCAGTCAGTCTCACACGGCTGCACAGAGCCACTCGCACTCCCACAGCCCAGAGACGCTGCACCAAGCACTGGGCCTCTGCTCCCCACAGCGGCAGGTCACGAAAAACAGGGCGGGCTGAGGCTGAAGAGGCGTGGCCGTGACCGTGACCCCAAGCCGTGGGCAGCACTCCCTGACCGGGCCACACTCAGTGCCTGGTCAAGGGGCACCATGTCTCCACTCTCCCCGGAAATCGTGCCTGAACAGAGAGGGGGTGTGAGGAGCAGCGGGGACCAGGTGGACCCGGTCAGTGACCCCGGCGAAGTGCAAACGGGGATCAAAAGTCACCCCAAAAAGTTAAATGTACAATCAGGAGAGAGACAGGCCTGAGCTGGAGTCCCAGGGCGACCGTCCTCCTTCCTCCCGCCCCCTGGCCAGCGGCCTGACTCCTCCTCGTGCCCTCCCGCAAGGCAGCCCTCGCTGTCTGGGAAGCTCTTCCTGGGCCAAGGGGTGACCCGCAGCAGCAGGCACTGCCCCACAATGCACTACACAGCGGGGAGGGGCAGCCTTGGGTCCCCTCAGGCCACAAGCCACAGAGCAGGTCTGCCTCGGGCAGGGCCCTGGGCAGCCGGGTGCCCCCAGAGCAGGCGCTGGGCCAGGGTCACCCGTTAGGTGTTAGGTGGCCGGCACTGCCACGTGTGGCTCCCAGCAGGTCCAGGGCTGGGCCGGCCCCTGCACTTGACCCTGCTCTGCCTCCTGCCCCGCTCCTGGTCTCCTCCAGCCACCTGCTTCCTCCACTGGGGGCGCCCTCTGTGCTGGTCCTCCCAGGGACCCGCCGAGCCTGCTGGCCTCCGGCGCACGGCCAGGGCAGGCAGCGGGCGGTGGGAGCACAGCTCCACGGCCTGATCACAACAGGTCTGGGCACGAGCAGGACGCCCTGCTGTGGACGGAGTGGTGTGTCCCCCAAACTCCTGTTGGTGTGATGGACCTGGAGGCGGGGCCTTGGAGGTGACGAGGGTGGGTGAGGGGGTGAGAGTGGGCCCATGAAGGATTAGGGTCCTCACAGGAGGGGCTCAGCGAGGAGGTGGCCGTGTGCAGCCGGGAGAGGACTAACCGGGGCGCCCTGACCCGAGCCTTCCAGCCTCCAGAGCGGAGAGACGATGTACAGGGAAGTCACTGGCCTGGCTTTGTGATGGCGCCCGAGCGGCCCCACACGCTGCAAACCACACAAACCACTCGTGGCGGCAGCAGCGCAGGCCTCGCTGGCCGCGGAAGGGCATGCCTGGGAGGGGCAGGGGGCGGGAACCTGGCTCTGGGGGGACCTGCCCCTCCCTGGGCTGAGTTCCTCCTTAATGAGACGTCACTTTGGAGAAGCCTTTCAGAGCCTTCAAAATCACAGCCCAAACCCGTCAAGCCGCCCAGAGAGCCCGAGATTCATGGCACAGACACAAAAGTGAAACAAGATAAAGCGAGGCGCCCGGCGACGGCAGTGCCGTGACAGCGCCATTTGTAGCCCGAGGAGCAGCTCAGACGCAGCGGCTTCTGCGCGGCTTGTTTATTCCGCACTTTCACATCAAATGAATTTGGAGAGAAAAAAAGCGACAGGCGGTTTAGGGATATAAGTCACACTTCAGCCTCCGTGCAGATTAATGAACCTGCTGGAAGCCAGCGAGGATGCAGGCAAATCCACAAATCTTACAGCAAAAGCATTCAACCCTCGCTCATGAGCCTCAGCCCTGGGGTGCCCTCTGCTGCCCCCCCAGACCCCAGGCCTGGCAGACCCCGAGCACCAGGGCCAGTTCTGGGCAGCAGTGGTCTGGAGTCCTCAGGGCCCAGCCAGCTCCTGTGGCCCCGGATCCAGGACGTAGGCTGCCTGGGGAGCTTGAAGCTGCAGCGGCACAGGGCAGCAGTCAGCGTCGGGGCCAAGGGCTCGGCCACTGTCAGCGGCTGCAGAGCCTTCCCCTGGTGAAGCTGAAGGCAGCGGGTGGGTGGCATCAGACTGGCCACTGGCCCCGGAGAAGGCCCTTTCCGCTGCCCCGACGAGCCGAGCCCGGCGCGCGCTCCTGACAGGGGCTGGGCAGCTGGCGAGCAGCCACCAAGCAGCCACCGTGCTGAGCAGGCAGCCCCGGTGAGGACACAGGTGGCCTTGGCGAAGGAAGCCCAGCCACTGGCAGCACTCAGCCCGTAGCTCCCGCACCCCCCACCCTGCAGGCCCAAGCCCAGGGCTCTGCGCTCAGCTGTGTCCTGGGTACCTGCTAACGGGCAGACAGGCCTGGGGAGGCAGTCAGGGCGGAGGGAGGCCCACTGAGCACGGCCCCACGCACGCCCTTAGGTAACACACGGCCATCCGGTGGGTTCCCTGTGCCTCCTCCCACAGGGAAGGGACTGAGGCCCGAGAGCCAGGCCAGGGCTGCAGGAGCCAGAGCATCCAGACAGCAAGGCGACTAGGCGAGGGCTTGAGGGGGGGAGCAGCTGGGCCTCCGTCAGGGGCTCACCCCATCCACCTGACCCAAGGTGCGCCCCACACACCTGCCCACCCAGCACACAGGCTCCTCGGGGCCGGGCTGCGCTCCACCCGCTGGGCTTGGAGCTCCGCTGAGGAGCAGGGCAGCATTGCCTGAGGGCGCCCAAGGCCACCGCCCTCCCCGGGGAACCTTCACCCACTGGGCCATGGACACCCCCACCAGGCCCCAGCTGGACCAAAGCCTAACCCTTCCTGGTGCTCAGAGGCTGGGAGGAGAGGCCCACGGACCACCCCGGAGGCGGGGCCTGGCCAGCAGGTGGGCGGAATACCTATGGCGGGAGGGGAGGCAGGAGTAGAACCAATAAATCTGAACCTCATTCACGACGATCTCTTATTAAGTAAATTAATTTAAGTTAATTCAGCGCAATCCTGGCTCCCGATCACAGTGATTTAGTGAGGGGGAAATTGCATTAGGAAAAGGCCACGCTCACCAGACAGAAGAACGGAAGGAAATTAGACCCACTTAGCACTGTGAATTAATATGGAAATAGAAGGTGTAAATTCAACCTTATCGAGAGAGTGAAAATTATCTTCATAAATATGTAGAAATAGCCCCCAAGATGCTTATAAATCTATTTAAAACAAAAATATTACAAAAAGTGCAGTAAAATTAACTTAAAATATACTCCCAGCTCTTGCCTCCAGAGAAGCAGGCGCAGGGCCAAGTTCCCTGGGCCTGGCGGTGCGGGAGGAGGACAGTGGGCGCCACCAGGGCAGGCTGCGTGTCCACATCTGCGGAGGCCGCAGGCGCACCCTCTGCCCACAGCCCAAGCCAGGCGGTCTCAGAGGGCGGCCGACACCACACTCTCAGCCAAGGCAGGTGGCGTGGGGCGGGCTGCGGCCTCCCTCCCGCCCTCAGCAGTCAGTGTACCGACGACAAGATGTCACAGGTCCCAAAGGGCTGCTCAGGGCCCAGCCTCTCACCACAAGGGCCTCCTGAGGGACAGCACAGCCTCCAGCGCCAGCTGATGGCTCGCTGATGCAGGAGGCATGAGCACGTGCGTGAGCGTGTCTGCGTGGTGTGCCGCGTGTCTGCGTGGTGTGCCGCGTGTCTGCGTGGTGTGCCACGCATCTGGGGCAGAAGCTGCTGAACAGAAAAATGAGCTCAATCCCAGCCGGCAAACAGGAGACCAGTGGTAAGCTCGGTGCCCTCGGCCTCAGGCCCGCCTGCAGCCCTGAGCCCCACCAGCCCGGCCCCAGGCCACAGGAGCCTGGGCAGGGCCTCCTACCTGGACAGGGAGAGCCGCCGAGCCCGCCAGGAAGGCAGGGAAAGGGGGAAGGGGGATGCGCTGAAAGGCGACACCGGGGTCTTCTTGACGATGCGGTACCGGGTCTTGATCACTTTGCTGGTGGCCGGGGCCGGCAGGGCGTTCAGGTTGGAGGCTGCAGAGAAAACCCAGACGGGCGGTCAGCGGAGGCTGTAGGGACCTTCCAGCCTGACCCCCGAGGCCATGCACGTCCGCACCAGCCCAGCAGCCTGGGCTCCAGGAGAGCCGGGCACAGGCCTAAGCCTTGACCAGCCACCAGGATGCGCGTGCGGTAGGCGGGGAGGAGGCTAGTGCCCTCAGCAGCACCACCCATGTCCCCAAGCCCGGGGCGGCACCATGGCCGCGAGAGGTCCCTCAGGCAGGCCCGGGAGGCTGGGGGTGCAGGTGGCACCGCACCAGGTGCCCACGCAGGTTTGTGTACTTGGCCACATCTGTGTTCACCGCAGGGTGACGACACCCGGCTTCCTGCCTGCTGAGGGCTCACACAATTGCAGGACCTGCTGTGCCCGAGTCCCTTGCACTTGATGCTGACGATGCCCCCACAGCTCGAGGAGCACGTCTGGGTGCCCTGCTGTCATCACCTGCAGCTGCACTGCCCAGATCACTGATCTGATGCCCGCCTCCCCCTGCGCCCACCTGCCTGCACAGCGCCTTGGGCTCTGCTCCCAGGGGCTACCGGCAAGGCCCCAGCACAGGGCTCCTCAGGGTTCCGCCCAGAGACCCCCACACCGGCAGCTCGGCCAGGCAGCCCATCAGTGGGGAGAGGCGGGCAGAGGCCGGGGGCCCCTG